GGAGGCAGAATGACGAAATTTGGTAAATCATAAGCATAGTTCTTCCTGTATGGTATCACAAAATGTACTACTTAAAAGCATGTAAATAAGTAAATAAAATATAAGTCCACTTTTGGGAATTGAGTTGCTAGCTCGCTTTCCGGTGAAGCTGTATAACAGGGGCAGGCAAGAACCCAAACTGTGGGTAAGGCCAATAGATTCACCTACGGGCGAAGTGGCGGGGCATTGACGAGAAAGACTACAGACGTGTTTGAATTATTAAACTAAAGCATGTGTTTTTAATATTCCTAAGTTCCGTGATATAAAAATTGGAGAGAAACGCTTAATACCTTCTTGTTACGCACACTAAGTATTAAATGTATGAATGTAATATGTATACGGGTGTAAACCTATAATAAATGCAAATATTTTACAAAAATGTCTTTACCTAATAATTTGAACACGTCTGGAGCGCATTTTGATATCCTGAACCGTTCCGAGGTTAAGGGGTATTCCGTAGTTGGTGGGACATTTATATACGAACTCACTGACATATGCACACACTGGTGTCCTACCTAATAACTTCTAAACGATTCACGATATCGAAATTCAGTTTTCGCTAAACAATGCGGAATAATTGGGCAGATAACATGCCGTAAAGACATTGTCTATACTATTTTTAGTTTTCAAGAAATTTAATAATCTTTTATTTCCTAATTTTTGGGCCGCCATTGGTCGGCCGTGGCCCGTATTGGGCTGTCGAGCAAAGATCAGGATAGGACATAACTTCTTTTTACGAAATGACACACGGAGTAGTTACAGTTAGTTCGGCTCCTATAAGTTAATTTTCGCCAATACACCTACGTGACACAACAGCAAACCTGTCCAAAACTCAATCTGATATAGTATTAGATAAGACATGATTACGAAATGTAATATTATTTTGTTAAACTAATCAAATATTGCTACCTGTAGGTAGAAATATTCATCACACTTCTTCTTATATAAAAGTGTACGTTAAATTAATGCGAAGGGACAATTCCTAAATCTGGAAGAGGATGCTCAAATATTTATACATCTTAAAACGTGTATTTTGTATACGTTTTGAAGTTTTTGGTTGGCGTCTAGGCTAACATTTTTCAAACTTCTTTCATAAAGGAACTTTTTCATTTCAATAAATGCTGAGAGACTTAGTCATTACAAGTGTGGAAGCGTAAGATAAATTATACAATTGATAGTCACTAACGCGCGTTGCCGCTAGCGTTAGGACAACGAATTACGCCTGGAGCGATTGATAGCAGATTGAGTATGATTTTGTTTGTTCGGTTTTACACTGCTGTTTGTGAAAATTTCAACACCAAGAAGGAGACATACTCTTATAATGAAATTTATTCCACAGAATAGGAATATCACAATATACAAATGATTAAAATTTCAGAACAGTACACGCATTTTGACCTTGAGTATTTAGTACTGAAGCCGCCACGCGCTGTAGTCAGTCTGTCGACGTCGTAGCATGGATTCAGAGAGAGCCTAGATATGCTGCTGGGGAACACACTGCCACGCTGTTTCTATACGTGACCACAAAGCATCGACAGTGGCTGCAAAAGCCCCAGAGCGAATAAGTCCCCGACCGATCATATCCCCAAACATGTGTGAGGGCACATGTCAGGCGAACGTGCAGGACAGCGAAGCAGTGGTACCTGTCGTTCTTCGCAGAAAGCTTGCACATTCCTCACCACATGCGCTTCTGCTGAATTATGGCTCGTGGAGATGCTTCCAGGAGCGGCAGTACCTCGACTGTACCTGTTCAGATTGCCCTCAGTACATATGAGGCGAGATCGCACACTGTAGCCAATGACGCCCAAAAACCACATTTGGTGTTTGTCCGCTATAGCACGGAACAATGCAGTCTGGTTGACTGACATCACGTCCAAAACGTACGCAGCCATCGCTGTAGCACAAATTGAAGCGGTACTCTTCTGAAAACACATCACACCAGTTACCACGCTCATGCGCCAATTGCTGTCGGGGGCGTTAGTGGTTTCTGGTCAACGGAATCCGTCGCAGTGGTATCCGTACAGACCAGCCCTCAGCAGACGACGTTGAACCATCGACGCAAACGTGACCACACCCGCTCCAGTGTTCCAAAGTCGAGCCAACACTGTGAACGACGCCGTTCTGTCGATTACAATCATATGGACAAGATGGCGATATTCTTGCGATGTGGTCACAGTGTTTGTTCCAGTACCCGCTCGTAGCCGAGTACGACCCTCTATCCACTGGTTCGTCACTGTCTTAGCAGCGCACCCTGTTCGAACCCCAATGTCACGAAAAACCTGCTTCTCGGAGACCGATCATTCTGCCCCATTAAAACTCACTCAGATGCTGATATTGCGCCCTTTGGTGTCTACGAAATGTACTGAGATTTGCTTGCAGGTTTCCATGTCGTTGACGGCTCTACATCGACCGTGTGTGGCGTAACACTGACTTGTCACACAGAGTGCTGAACCTCATCATTATGCAAATTTAATCAAATGATTGATTTATGCAATTCAATCACTAGGCAAAATTATGAAGGCAACAAATCTTTATTTTTAATACTTTAGTTGTAGGAAGAAAGAAGGAATATTTTGAATGTTTTCATTTTCAAAAAAATTAGTTTTCAACGAACATGAGGCCTGCGCCATTCTCTTAAATGTCCTTCACACTATCCGACCACAAAATTTAATCAAAAACGATGGAGCCATGTTCTTGAAAATCTTGAGAGGTCCCAGGGGATTCATGTAAAGTACCCATCCAAATAGTTAAATATCGGTTTCAAATTCAAGGGGCAAAATTTAATAAGCCAGATCGGTGGGGAAATATTAATTTTGGAGAAAATCGGCAGAACGGTTTAGCCGCTAGCGTTGTTCACAAACGGACTTACAAAAGTTTTGTCAATCGATTTTTCGGCATCAAGGACCTACAAAACATGGATTCTGACTACACCACGTGTTAGAGGGTTTTTGTAATTCTAAATATTGCATCTGGATTTATTCACTCTTTCGCTGCCAGGGCTCTGTAATAAGAGTTTTCCGCGGAAAATTCGTGGTAGTGGTAGCGAGAAAGTAAAAAAAAACCTCTATCATCAATATTGTACTTTTGCGATGTTTATTTTTCGCAAATAAAAAAAAACAATAGTCTCCGAAAATAAGACCTCTGACATATTTTAGCGACCTTTGGGGTACTGAAGAACGCATTTAAAGAAAAAGCCCGTTTTTAAGAAAACATGTAAAAACGACCTAAAAATCACGCAAATTGCGCGAAAATTATTCATATTTTCGAAAAACTGTACATCTTATTTAAGTTATGTCTTCTTATGTTTTAGAAGAACGATATCATAATTGAATAAATTTTATCTTCTCAATATTGTAGTTATAATAAGACGCGGAAGTATATTTGAACTTTTTCAATAAGTTTTCAACAATTCTCAGAGTTCAACGAAAATTAGACCTGTGACATTTTTTAAAACGTCTTTTGCTCTATCCGAGAACAAAAAATTAAACACATTGGATCCTTTTTAGAAAATTTTGAAAAAGTTATGGTTTTTGTAAAGTACATCCAGAAATCGAAATATCCCTTTCAAATTTGTAAGCATGGAGTTTGGCCACATCACATGAGAGAACATCAGTTTTGGAGAAATCGACTGTACGGTTTAGGCGCTAGCGTTGACCGCTGGCAGAGGTTTTGCCGTAAACCAAAATGGTGGTATTAAGGGCCCACAAAATTTGGATTATGACTACACAACTTGTTAGAGGAATTAATTCCCTTCATGTACGAACAAGTTTTACCTACTTATTCGATATCAGCGCCCTACAGAAAGAGGTTTTTGTGTCAAAAATCGCCGATTTTTGATACACCATTACAATATTGTGTCTATGTTACGTTTTTAGTACCCGAAAAGGTAAAAAGGAGGGGCAGATTTTATATCCGGGATGCAATATTAGTGATCATTCCGGTATTTTCCATATGCTAATGTGTAAACCCTGGGAAATCTCGATCAGAATGGCTTAGGGTCGAAACAGGTTTGAAATTCGTAGTTAGGAAGGAAATGGAAAATAAAACGAAATAATGTAAGGGAAGAGGGAAAGTAGATGTTAATGAATTATTATTCATTGATATTAACAGTTTGGTGCACAATGAGTTCGTACCGCTTGAACAGCCTGTTTCTGATCATTTCTAAATGCAATTTTTCCATAGTTTGTACGATACGATTCGAAGGACGCGATGAGCCTAGTGGTAAAGGAAACTGGTGTCTGAATCAAGATAATGGGCCAAGTCACACATCGCTTTGTGGTGCAGAAATTCCTCGCCGAGAACATTCCTATCTTCCCTCAAACATCGTACTCTCTGGATCTCGCTCCCAGTGACTAATGGCTGTTCCTACTCTGAAAATGGGCCCCAAAGTGAGATCGAATGCGACAGGTCAGCTCCGATAGGTGCCGAAAGAAGCTTTATAACAGCTGCAACCAACAATATTATCAACTATGGAGCAAGTGTATGGGTGCGCAAGGGTCCTTCTACGGAGTTGATTAGTTCTTGCCACAAGTTATAACATTACCGTGTTGAATGAAGGAACTAAAACTGCTACTGGTAATTTCAAATCATTTTAATTCCAAACTATGGGCTATGAAGTGAAAATTAAAAATCTTATCTAATTTGTACTCTTATTTCCTTGTATCAAAGCTTTTCTGACGCTCTATTATGCAAGTTTATCCTATTCAAAGGAACAAAGTTTAAACAAATCTGGTGATTGAGGGACCTGAACATAGATTTAGTGAACACTAGCTGGAGCGTGTGCGTACGCGCGCTTGATATACAACTGCTAATATGTCAATATTTCCAAATATACAAATATTTTGATACAATACTATATGTGACTTCTTGAAGTCAAATGACTAAATCACTCAAACTTAATTGTAGTAGGTATTAATGTATTATTCCTTGGTTTTCGACCGCAAGTTCTGTTCTGTTCGTAGGCCGTAATCAACAGCACCATCACTCCCAACATGACGTTCACGAAAACGTCACAAAAGTTCGGCCAGTGGTCGGACGTCCGCGCCAACACGGTGTACGGGCTCGGCTTTTCGTCGGAGTCGGAACTCAACAAGGTGAGGACATCACAATAATTTTGGACGTACGCGTATATATTCTGGGCTCCGTAAAACATGCTTACTCTCGTAGAAAACACTTTTATGCACCGAAGTGCCAGTTTGCGTGAGGTCGTTCCATGGTCAAGTATGTACGAGCGGTGAATTCGTGAATATATGAGCAACAGTTATTGGCGTGTATCTGTGAATTTAAATAAATGAAACGACGCAAAGATGTACCCAGAATAACAATAAAAAATCGAAAATCAAGAACACCTCCGTTAAAAGTCTGCTCAGGCGTTGGTTCAATATTTAGTCGTTTCATAGACGTTTGTTAAAACGACGTTAGTTTGTAGTCTTAGAGTTAATTTTCAAGTAGCTTGGATCAAGGAACGCCTGCCAACTAAGACAAGACTTTTGGCTTTCGAATAATGCTTTAATGCAATGTAAAAAATACGTAAATAATACAAAGGAAGTGTGAAATGAGTGTTTACTCATTCGTTCAGCTTTTTGTCAGATACTTTGAAGCGTACGCCCCAACGAGTTGTTCGTCTTGAAAGAAATCCACTTTCCGTAAGCTGTTGTTAGCCCCCCGTCCCGCCCATCACCGCGCAGCGCACCGCGCCTCCCTGGGGCTTCTCGGACTGACGGTCGCGCGGCGCTCGTTCCGCAGTTCATCGAGAAGTTCCAGGAAGTGAAGGAGGCGACGCGACTAGCGGCGGCGAAGGCGATCGCCAACGGCACGGGCGCGGGCGTGACGCCGGTGACGAGCGCCAACGCCAGTCCCATCACGGCGCGGGCGAGCGCGCCGGCGGGCCGCGGCGTCACCCCGGGAGACGGCGGCGCGCCACCGCCGGGCTCGGGCGGCGACGCCGGCGTGGGCGGCGGCGGCAGCGGGTCGCAGCCACTGCTGGAGCCGCCCACGGTGGGCGGCGCCGTCACCACCCCCGCGTCGCCGGCGACCGGGGCGCCCGCGCCCAACGCTGTCACCGTGGTGACGACGGGCGGCCCCGGCGACTCCGGCACCCTCAAGGGCACGACGAGCACGGCGCACTCGCGCTCGCAGTCGCTGTCGGGCGTGCAGGCGGGCGAGAGCCCCAAGCACCAGGCCAAGGGCGGGCCCGGCGCCGGTGACAAGGTGTCGACGGGCGGCTCCCTCACCAACACCACGACCGCCTCCGCCACCTCTGCCGGCGCTGGCCTCCCGCCCGGCTCCTCGCTCGAGGCGCAGCTCAAGTACGAGAACGACCGCCTCAAGTTGGCGCTGGCGCAAAGGTGAGCTCGCTTTCTGCCCTCTGGTCTGGATTGGTAAATGTTTTAATTGAATTCGAAACTTTTGACCAAAACTATAAATATTTTGTGTGTGGGAGGGGACTCCGTCGGTATTTTTGTTTCCTATCGTCATCCGGACAGAATCTTGGATTTTTATTCCACCCACGCACAACATAGTTTTTATCCCTTACTGCTGCTAACATGATGATTATTTTTCTCTGATAACAAAAAACTTAATTCTATGTTTAAAAAAATCACTGTTGCGAATTTTATATCTTTGTTCGATATATTCAAATGCCTCCAGTTGTTGTTTACGGATCTTTAAGAATTTCAAAATGAAATTAGAATTTTGGCACACGTCCAATACTTAGATTTTGTCTTTAAAACTCTCAGCTTTCATTTACCTAGTAATGGATAAAATTAAGTACTGTTACGTTGGTACCTTTTAACGCGAGTAAAATGTTTTACTCTCGAATGGAATGAATAAAATTATAATGGTGCCATAAATTACTATTGTTTTACTTCATTATAATTGCGATTATTATTTTTCAATTATGGACAATGTCTCTTCCCTAGGAATTATGTTGCAAAACTTGACATTAATTTACAACAAAAGCCAACAACTAGACGTTTAGCGTTAGGGTCATGCTTAAAACGGACTTGCTAGAAACGTACCGTGTGTGGATGATAAAAAGACTCTAGAGGCCTCTGTGAACTTGATTTCTGCTTCTGGCAGTGGTAAACTCGATATCTAGTTTACATCACAACATAATCGAAGACTCCCCAGTTATCAGCTTTTATTAGAATGCACGAGGCAGTATGGTCGAATAGACGAATCACCTACCAGTTAAGACCGTTCTCGCAAGGATATGCTGGGGTCAATGGATGCATAAAAGCTATACCCTCACAGGGTATCTAGTGACAGGTAAAAGAGGGAATTGGCCTGGAATTTTTTCTCTACTGTAAGTACCAGGAATGTTTTCCTAAACCGGGATTTTTTAAAAATTTTATTTTTTAAAATTTTCAGAAATGTCTAAATTAAAAAACAAAACTTTTTAAATATTTTACCATTAAATTAGAAAAATAAAAAAGATTAGTTCAAGTTTTAACGCTGATAATTTTTAATAAAAATGATATAACTTTATTAGAATTATGGATTAAATTAATAACCAGACTTGCTTTAATTTTCTCTATATTTTATAGTTTTGACTCGACTTACTATGTCAACACACTTCATTACTCAATAAATTTCTTAAAAGGAAAGAAAATCAGAACCTAAATACAGATAAACTTCTTTCATATATACTGTTATAAATGATACTCCTATTACATTTCTACACGACGCCAGAGATCTAGAGGTAAATGAAACTTATAACATTCCTAGAAAGAAAATAACAATGCTTAGATTGATTGTCACAAATAACATTAACGGCAAATAGGAATTGTAGATCACGGGAGTCATTAGTTGGAGACATTAAAACATAATTGGCAATCAAAGTTTTAATGTGTTAATTTATTCCGACCGAAACCCGTGATTTACTGTTCCTATTTCTACTTAATGGTTGTGAATCTACAATAGTTAAATATCAACGCATGAAATGAATAAACACACGTGAATTATTAAGAAATAATGCTGTCATACTGATAGTTTAATATTATTATTTTAGAATTATTGCAAATGCTTAAATTTCAAACCTTAAAAACCTTGTCGATAATCGGAAAGTTTCCCGAAAAAAAATTGGGAATTAGCCAGGAATTTTGCCTAAGAATTTGGCTTGGTATACTACCTCAGCAACTGTTCTCACTTTACCTGAACTCTTTAACTGATCTCCACAGGGGAAATAATCGCCCCATAACTAACGAGTAGATTTAGTCGTTGTACTGGCCGGTTTTGTTACGCGAAATGGAGAACAAATTTTATTTGAAGGAAAAATCTCTATCTTCCATATTGTAGTGTTATAAAGACGCCGGAAATAATTCAAACTTTTGAAATTTACGAAAATGTAGAATTAACACAAAATAGGACCTACGCCACCTTCCTATAACTTCAATATTAAAGATACAGATTTTTCCTCAATGAAACGTGTTGTTCGTAACCAGTTCTTTCGAGGTCATGTTTTTGATAATTTTAGTTGTTTTCGAGCAATATTGCTTGCAATATTTGCAATTGTAAAAACATTAGAAAACCTAATTTTAAAAAACGGTTTAACATTTTTCTTTAAACTTTTGATAATGATGGTGCTAATGCACTGAATAAGATGACATAAACGCCGTATTGCTTTCTTCTTTTTTCTTTTCACAAATTACAAAAAAAAAAATGTTTGACTTATCTCTCGTCGTTAATATTTACATTAGTAGGCATTTTGTTTATATTAATGTATTTATGAGTACATGTGCTTTAAATAATGTCAAATAAAGTGCCTCGAAAACTCAACAATTTTCTGTGAAAATGATCTCAAAATTCTGATACTCAATTTTCAGATACTCAAACTCCATTTTCTCAAAAATTGCTCCAAATGTTTTCTTCAAACTTTTCGTATAGATAGCACTAATTGCACTGTTTAAAATAACATAAAGTTTACATTGATGTATTATTTTCTTTTTACAAAAAAATAAACAAACTTATTTTTAAAATGTATCTCACGCCGTTAATGTGCACATTTCCAGCGATTTGGAAACACAATCGCATTTGTGAGTTAAAGTACCTCAAATGAATTTAAATGAAGTTTTTCGAATACTCAAATTTCTCTGAAAAAGGCATTTACACTAGAGGTTAAACGATATTTTCTGCAAAACGGCATCAAATTTTTCAACGAAAATTTCCATATAAGACGAGTCTTTACCCTTCTTTAATATTTCGAATCTTTTATGATAAAAACGTAAAAATTGAGACAATTTAAAAAAAATGCATTTATGTATGATGGATGGCAGTCGCCAAGAGGATGGGGCTAGACCGTAAAACTAACCCACACCAAGGAAATTAGAGAATACGGGAAAGTTTGTGTCATTCTGTGGCATGATAGTTTGTGTAATTTGGCTTCAAACATACTCGCCCGTTCGGAATTTACTGCGCTGTGTGAACATAATTCCAGGCAGTTCGTTGCTTTGTGAGTTAGAATTTGTATATTATTTCATATTTCCTTGTTCGTTTCTTACATTGGACCTTTTGTTATACATTTACACATTAATATTTTAGAAATTATGTAAAACCTATTTGAAATGTGTGAAATTAAAATTTCTAACTTCAGAGAATACCACATGGGAATGCAACAATGGCTTTCCGCGCCGCGAATGGGCAGCAGTAATTTCATAAATTGTCTCATTGTTGGGACATGCTGTAGCTGTGTAGAAAGTAGTTATAAATGTTATATTTGTGTTGATATTTGTTTGAAAATATTTTTTTTTTTCGCCAATGTTGTTCGATTTGTAATGAGTTTTACTAAAAATGACTGGATGTGTTAATTCGGATAGAAATTGTTGAATAAGTAGTATTAAATAACTATTACTAAAGGCAAGAAAGGAGGTGATGTTCTACTAGTTTCTTTAAATTCTTTGAAAGATTGGAGTAAAATCCACGTATAAAGATGGCATAGGTCAGTTGTTCTCGGCTTACTCTAAAATTGCAAAAGTTTCATTTTTTCTGGCTTCCTACAACTGCAAAAACTCATATTACAGGGCCCTGGTAACGAAAAAGTGGAAATCCAGTTGCTAAATTTAGAAAAAAATCCTCTTAACACGTAGTGTAGCTAGATTCCAGGTTTTATGGGTCCTTGATACCGAAAAGTCCATTGGCTGCTAAACGTCTGTCTGTGAACAAACTACCGGCTAAACTGTTCAGCCGATTTTCTCCAAAATTATTAGTCCTCAGTCAATCTGGCTGATGCCGCACCCTCTTGAATTTGAAGACGAAAACATTTTGATTATTGAGTGTGTTTACACGAAGCCTGTGAGATATTATACAAAAATGGCGCCATCGATTTTGATAAATATTTTCGTTTGTCTGAAGGACATTTAAGAGAACGTCGCAGGTTTCGTCTCGGTTAAAACCCTAATTTTTCGAAAATTGCAAAATCTCAAAATTTTTTCGGCGTCTTCCTACAACTAAAATAGTAAAGATAGAGATTTTTTCCGATAAAAATATCGGTCCCTTAAAGATAGGTTTTGAAATAAAGTCTTGTACAATTTTGTGAAACATTTGACTACTTTTAATTTTGTTTAAACTTTTTCTCTCCTTCTTCTTCTTCTTCTTCTTCCTCCTCTTCTTCCTCCTCTTCCTCCTCTTCTTCTTCCTCTTCTTCTTCCTCTTCTTCTTCCTCTTCTTCCTCCTCTTCTTTCTCTTCTTCTTCCTCTTCTTCTTCCTCTTCTTTCTCTTCTTCTTCTTCCTCTTCTTCCTCTTCTTTCTCTTCTTCCTCTTCTTTCTCTTCTTCCTCTTCTTTCTCTTCTTCCTCTTCTTTCTCTTCTTTCTCTTCTTCCTCTTCTTTCTCTTCTTCTTCTTCCTCTTCTTCTTCCTCTTCTTTCTCTTCCTCTTCTTCCTCCTTCTTCTTCTTCTTCTTCTTCTTCTTCAAAAAGACTTACCTCAAAAAGACTCTGTGTTTGTTTTGAATCAAAGCTGCTTGTTCAACTTGGAAGGATAAGTCACGTGTTCGAACACACTCACTGGCAGTGGCAGGCAAACAAACATGTTGCCACTTGCACCCAACTTGAACAACTTATATCAGACCTCTGTCTTAAATGGATTGAAACATTGAAATAGTGCATATCTGTTGCTTTCCATATTTAACTCCAAAATTAGAAATAATGCCTCAAGTAAAACTAAAACAAATGTCTGTCACTGAAATAAACACATCTGATCACCATAAAGCTCCAGAAAAGACGGAGGTCTGGTATACTGTAAGTGGTTCAAGCTGGGTGCAAGTGGCAATATGTTAGCCTGCCACTGAGTGTTTGAACACATGGCTCATTCTTTTGTTATGTGACTTATGACTTATTATTGTTAAAACGTACAGCTTTCATTCAAAACAAACATGGAAAATATTCCTTTTGCTTGCATGGTCACAAAGAATTTTTTTTTTTTTCCAATGATGTTAGAGACTTCCTAATGTGAAGTGATTTTGAATTGATGATTGACAATGAGTCCTGAAAGAGACCTAACAATTGAGAAATAGCCAAAAATTACCTATTAACTATACACTTCTATCACCTATATAATCAGAATCCGAGCCCTGATTATGAGTAATAATAATAATAATAATAATAATAATAATAATAATAATAATAATAATAATAATAATATAATAATAATAATTAATAATAAATTATTAGACTCGTGTAATTATGGGGGGCATGCTTGAAAAACAAAAGAAACTTGTACGCATGCTACAATAGATTACGCTAAGCATTCGACACCGTGGCCCCATCTTGCTACTTCAATTGTTGGATGTATACAAGGTCACCCGTTCTATCCAAAACTTACCTCCTGAAAACTGCGATGATCGATGAATACAAAAACTGTATTCTCTAATGGACAAACAACTCCACCACAGATACTATTACAACATCCGCGAGGGATTTCTCTAGGGTGACTCGTTTAAGCCCTTTATTGTTCTGTTTACGCCTTGAATCCCTCTCTACTCTACTTACATTATTCTAATTATGGAATCGCTCATTATAAAGGGGAACTCAACTCTTTCTTCGTGTCTCACATCTCCTTTACATGGATGACCATGAAGCTCTATGCAGACGACTGAGAGTCATATGGGCAACTAATAAACGTACACGGAGAAGTTCACTGACGACATTAAGATGCAAATTCGGTTTGGATAAGTGCAGGAGAGTGAATATCATTCGCGGTCATATTGCAAGTTTAAATTTGGCAACTGATGATGAACCAAAGATTTACCTTCATGGAACCCCATGAAAAACTTTACCAAATACTTGGTGTTCAACGAGTCACTCTCGAATCAAACACACTGCTTATCAAGATATACTAACAAATGAAGTGTGTAAACGATGCATGGGTCTTAAAAACTCAACTCTCTGCTAGAAACTTTGTGCAAGCCATCAAATTCATTTGTTATTCCAGTGCTGACATACCCTTTGCGTTATAAATGGAGCAATACAGACGGTCGACAACTCCAAAGAACAATTCGAACCGCTATGACTCACACCAAGACATCCATCCCCATTCAAATCTGAGCGTTTTACCCTTCCAAAGTGCGCAAGGAGGCGAGGGATTGTAAGACACATAAATCTACACAGCTCTCAATTGCCTTACTTCGAAGATTACTCTTGGAACTGTGGAGAGTTCAGCAAGCAGTGAGTGCGTTGATAACTATAGTCCTCTGAACTTGAAAAAGCTTGATCCGCCTGTTCAACCCAATCATTGAAGAAGGAGAAGATAACCTTATGAGAAAGCAAAGCACTGCATGGAAGTACCCTTCACGAGCTGAGTAAACCGAAGAAGTCGACCATCTCTGGTCGCACGCATGCGCGTCCAGCCCCGGGGATCTTCTTTCCGAGACAGAAGCCTCATGATAGCTATCTCAGGACCAAGTGTACCAACATTGAATACAGAAAAACACATTCTGAGAATTCTACCATTCTTTCCGACTCGTGTAGAAAGATGTGAGGGGTTGCAAGCGAAACTATCCAACACGTACCAAGTGTGTAGCAGCCACGCACAGTGGATATTACGAAAAAAGAGGCATTGATGAAGTGGCCGAAGCAGGACACCTGAGAGGTTACTGGCGTGAGAAACGGCTACTCGCCACTTCCGTGCGCGTATTTAAATCATGTGCCTCAGAATGTGCTTGAAAGTAGTGAGGCACACACTCTACTGGATCGTTGCATATCACTGACAGACATGTCTGGCGGCATTAGTACATTGATAGAAACCACAGCAGGTTTTTCCTTATCGATATATCAATACCCAATACCCACAACATATCTGGAAAATATCAGAAAGATCCAGAAGATACCAATCTCGCCTATGAGGCGCAACTCAGTGAACTTCAGTAGAATGACGACTGTTGGCCTTAATAATATCAGCTACGGGAGTGAGTACCCAAAATACATTCGGCACTGGAGTGTCTTCCTTGGATACAGGAATGTATATAATATGCAAAAGTGTTTAATTTTTGAATTACATGCCGGATTGTCAGAACCTCTGAACCTTCAGTAAAGCAACCACACACCTGGTCATCATACCTGTGTGTGGTTGACATTACGACCAGGTAGATACTTGAATAATGTAAGACAATAATAATAATAATAATAATAATAATAATAATAATAATAATAATAATAATAATAATAAACAAGCCAACAAAAAACACTAAATTAATAATTTGTTTATATTAAGGCTTATAATTTGTTACAAAATGCATTTTAAATCAGTGAAATTTAGCATAAGTATATATTGTACATTTTAAGTAAAGATTAATTTGTTTGAAGCGGTGCATTTTGGAAGAATCACAACATCAAATTTTTGTATTAAAGTTCAAAGACTTTGGAAACCTAACCCCTGTTGAGTTGTATATCAAATAAAAAGCCATAAAGAAAGCTGCAAAAGTCATCTTTTTCAGCTCTCTATCTTAATTTGGAGAGGTTATGCATCAATTTAAATGTTTCAGGAAACCCAATTTCTTAATACTTTACAAGGCTGTATTTCACAAATAGTAGAAATATTTTACTCAAAATTAGTGGTTTTCTCATTCTTCATTCATACTACCTATGTATCAAATTTCATAATAATGTGAGATGGTGAGGTAAAATTTTAATAAAAACTGTGTTGATGTTTTATGGAATGACCCTAATGCTTCTGGTAAAATGAAGTTTATGCATCATATGATTCGTAAAGAATACAATTATTTATGCTCTTATTTATAAAATTATAACATAATCGGAGAGAAAATCTTCAAGAGTGGGTTGAAGTGTGAGGGACCAGTTCTTTTGTAATACTTTGTTTCATGGAAGATTATAATTACACTAAAAATTAAGAGGTTTAAATGTTTTGAAAATAAGACATTTTTCACTTTTAGATCCATTTGACAAGCATGACAGGTCACTATTAAATACTATTTAATGCTAACAAAAAACGGAAGTGCTCTTCACTCTTTTCTTACTTGTGGTGTCAACAGCACTAATAAGCAAAATTCATATTTAGTATGAATTATACTGCGCTTTTTGCAACTCTGCCCCTGGCAGGTATCAGCTGTTGACAGTTTCATCCAATCGGGAGCATGAACGTGACTGTGTGATGTAACTGTAACGACATTTAAGCTCCCAATTGGATGAAACCATCAACAGCTGATATCTGCCAGGGGCAGAATTACATAAATCGCAGTTTAGCGACCATTGTTGCTTGTAACTCATTGTTGAAATGCCGCACAGTAGGCGATCATGACTGCTGCCTTTTCTTTCACAATAATATAAACCAATAATTTTATTTACTGGTAAAATACGCATTGTGCATCATTGGTGTAGTTCACGTTTATGTAGAACTTTAATACACTGAATTCATTGGCAGAAAGGTGTTATCATTTGAGCATTTGAATTTTAAATAATGTGCATTTTTTACGCTTTGTTGTTTAAGAATTTTTCAAATGGTTGTTGTAGTGAAATACAGAAACTGCCATATAATATTACATTGCCATTAACAATATCGCTAGAAAGTATGTGCTGTGGTAACTCCACTGGTTTGGATAGTAAATGTATAAGAGCTTTCAGGGGCATTTCCCCAGAATATTATTCCACATGTTAGGAGGGAGTGAGACTGACCTGAGGGTGTATAAGGCACAGTGAAATTTTGTAAGCTGCTTGTTCAGATTTGAGATGTTGGCATTCCATTTTAGATTTTTGTGGACTGTCAGACTGAGGAAGGTCGTTTCATGAGATATTGTTTCAAGGTTATTGTTTATGAGCAAATGCTGTGAGTATTTTTCTTTGCGTTGGGAAATCATGGCATTTAGAGAGAGTGTATTGCTGATGTATATGACGAATTTGTCGTCTTGAAACAGTTTTACTAATGCATGAATTGTTTTGTGAGTTTCTTTTTCTAATGATTGTTGGTTTTTGCTTTGGTGATTGTCCAATCTGTAAACAAAATTATTTTGTTTTTAAAACCAAAGAAATTGTAAGGATACTTGCAGGGAGACTGCCTTACACATTTTCACCCTATGCTTCTTTTAAATCCTATTCTGGGTGCTAATCGAAGGAGTCATTCGAGCAGATATGCTTCGTAGGAGCACCTTGTAGTGCCTTGTCATGATTCTCACTTTATCCGCCGGACATAGTTTGTTCTCACTTAATAATATTTGGACTGTCTCTTGGTGGAACTTGAGATCTCTTTAGGATGGGATATTGCTGGGGGTAATTTGCATGGACACCTTTTACTATTGATGCTCTTAAGGTTCAAAAGATTTTTTGTTTGTTTTTTTAATGGCCTATAGAATAATTTATTTCCTGAAGTTGAAACTGGAATCTGCCACTTTTCCATTGTATACCTGACACTCTACTATTGTTACATGTTTCAGTTCTGCGAATGCCAAGAAATGGGAGGTAGAGTTGCATACGCTCAAGAATAATAATGTGCGTTTAACAAGTGCACTTCAAGAGAGTACAGCCAATGTTGAAGAGTGGAAACGCCAACTGCACTCCTACAAAGAGGAAAATCAGCGTATGAAAACAAAATACCTAGAATTAGAGGCTGCAAAGGGTGAGTACATGCATTACTTGTTCTTGGAAAACTTTCCTTCTAATTCTTAATGTTATCCCTTAGTTTCTTTTTCTTTTATTCTTGACATTATTATTTAATCTTCCATATCTTCATTACCCTTCATGAATGGTCAGTGGGTACAGGGTCATCTCCAATTCATTACAGATATCGAGACTCATAAAGTGCAGATGTTTGGGGAAGAGACACTAAAATAATAATAGTGAGGACATTTTAGATTGTGTTTCAGAGCTATTTAGGAAAGAACATCCAGTCTCAAATTGTACCAGTTTTATTTCCAATCGTCTACCTTCAAACGGGCTATTAAAATAAAGTGTCCATGCATGTTCCTGATTCACAATGATTAGTTTTTAACTTTGAATTTTCCTTTATAACAACAAAATAAATAACAAATTACATCCTCTATTGTAGATAGTTAAAATAATGATATACAAGTATGCATCTATTGTGATGGGATAAATATTGGTGAGATAATTTCATGTGAAATATTTTCCCACAATTCAAATTATTCAACTTGATTTTCTCATCATTTGCTAATTGATATGCAAGAGCTGAAAATGGTGTCTCCAAAAGGTTGCACGTGTACTACTGCATTGTACTCCTGCATTCTCTTGGCAAATAACTGCTTGCTATAATTATCTGCCAGTTTTTAGTTTGCATTTTTCTTGTAGTTATTAGTGCAGGTGAAATAAGAGTAGAGTTTCCTGTGCTGAGTTCTCATGTAGTCAGTTACAGTTCAATAATTTTGTACTTTCACTTAAAAAGTTAATTATATTTGTCTACTCCATTAATACATATTAATTAGTAATAAAAAATACATTATGATGTGCAAATTCACATGGTTAGTTCGCACCTTAAACACAGACTTCTCGACTCTTGAGATGTACTCCAAATTTCTTGAACACATTGTCTTTTGAAGAGAGATATTACTAAATTGATTAGAACAAAAGGAGTTTGTTTAGTTTGGTTAGAACAAAGAGTACAACACTGAGAATGTTTGGACCTCTCTGTACGTATATGAGGAAGTAAAATGGATATGGAATAAAGTGAATGAAATGTATAAATTTATTAGTGGGATGTTCTGTTTTAATTCATTTTTTTATTATCATTGAATTTGATACCTAAAATATGGTAGTATATTAATTTTCAAATATATCAGACATAAGTTGTTACAGAATTGGTTTTCTTTTATTAACTTTTCATGAAAAATTGTTACCTAGAACCAGGCTGTATAGTACTGCACTAGAAACACAAACATTAAATATCCTAATTAGTGTTGTGAAAGTTGATGCAATGATCATTAAAATACAAATCTTTAAAATGCAAATTAAGTTCATTTCCACTACAAAATTTAAAAATGAAAATATGGGAAACACTTGTGTGACCAGGCACAGATTGCTGTGGTGAACTGTGTTGTCAAGGAAGTCAGTACTAAAGAAAATAGCCCTTCCAAGAAGCAACCACCAATGGGACTTGCAATGGAAAAAAATGAAAAAATTAATTGAAACCATCCAACCATTACAAATCGTGTAACTTTACCATTTAAAGGTAAAGAGGAAAGAATAACTCATTTTAAAATATTAAATTCTATTAACTTCAACTATTAGAATAATGCTGTAAAACTAAGGTCTACAATTCTAAAATGCAAAATGCGTTAAAAAAGTGATACCTTCAAGTGAAGTGGTTTTCAACAAAATTTTTATTTTTACCAGAAATTAATTTGTAATAGTAATGGATATAATCAATCTCCTAGGCAATTTTGTCAACTTTCATTTTGAGTACAAAATTTTCTTGCTATGATGCATACATGTCTATACAATTTTACTTCAGAGCTGTGTTTGGAGTAATAAGCATGTTAATATGTTAAAAAAATCTCAGAACGTGGAGATGTGCAGATTACAGGAGAGCTCTTAGGACGCTTTTGCACAATGTCAAGTAGAAAATTATAATTAGTATTTTTTTGCCATAGCAACCAATAGCGAAAAACAGGACGTTTCGATATTCCAACAAAGTTCCTCTGGACAATGGGGCAGAACTCGTAAAATACTGGACGATCCCGTGTTTCCAGTTACGTTACGATATGATTGGAAATATGAATCCCTGGTCTTGAACATTGAAAATTATTTTATCACTTTATGGTAATTCAATTATATTTTTAAAAAAATGTAATAACAAAATTAAATTTGTACAATTAAAAAAAATTAATTATGTGAAATGTATGTCATATTATTATAACTTAGATTTTCAAATAAATTAAATGTTATGGTACACTATGAGACTGCATGTTATGGAGCAATACACCTTCCTAAGCTTACATATTTGAAATTTTTTTCTCATTGGCTTGAATAATGTCTTATAGTACTTTTTTTTATTTTGACCATACACATTCTGCTATTTTATAGAACCATCTCCTACCCAAGGTATAAGATTGATTCCCTATGTTTGGTGTTTAATTCCCCTTTTTTAATTCATAACTGTCTTTGCCATAAGTTTTGAAGAAACAAAAATACTATTCTTCCCAGAATCCTAATTTTCCTCCCATGAATCCACTATTGTTGGAATAATAAATACCCTCCCAGCAAAGAGACATGATCTGTGAACAAAGCTTCTTTTGAGTTTATGTAGGAAATGCTGATGCTGCAGCAGAGCTACGTAAAGAGCTGGCAAGTCTTCGCACGCGGGTAGAGCAGTTGGAGCTGGAACTGAAGGCCAAAAACGATGAAATCCAAGGTCTCAAAAAGTGTCAGCAACAGCAGAACACTCCAGATCCTGCAGGTCGTGCCCAAGAAGAACGAATTAAGGTATGAATAACATCTTTCATTTTTTTCAAAGGGTTAATATATTGTATGAGATACCTGTTCAATCATTCAAAATGACCTATCCGTATCAACACAATGTCCATAGCCAAGGAAATGTTGAAAAGGGCCTGGAAAATATTTAAAATGTTTGGACAGTAATTTTGAAATCTAGCAATATTTCTTTTGTTTCTTGCGATGTCCACTCAACAATAAAAAACAGTATTGTATATTTTACTTTCAGATGCTTTTATTAATAAAAATTCAATGCAAAATTCATACAGAAATAAAAGGCCACAAATCAGCAGGCAAGCTAGCTAAATAGTCTGCTGAATATAAAGAATTACCTATATCGAAAACCACATTAATAAAAAAAACTTAATGATGAGGCACTCTTAATTTGACAGATCAGTTGGAACAATACAACAGAAGACAAAAATCACAAAATCCTTTTGTCCTAACACTGTAAACAGGATAGGACAAAAATTGCCAACAACACCAGAATTCACATCAGTTATTACAGGACATGGCTAAACTAAATTGTCTCTGCACTGATTCTTATCATAAACAATCCAGCATGTATGTCTGGGAGAGAACAAACTGTGTGACACTTAGTTTATGTATGCCTGTTAGTTCTAGTTTTCTTCATTCTTCTAGTACTGAGCGTTAAAATGAAGGCAGGATCATGGCCAGCAATACCTGAGAAATTAATGATACAATATTTACATTAATTTAACCAATTCATACAAGACCTTTAAAACATAGATGTTTACTTAGAAATTGCCCTGAGTTTAGAGATATATGTTTATTTAGACAAGGATTGCGAGCATTTTGTACAAGTTAACATTTTGTTTAGTGATTAAAAATTATTCTGTCAAAGGGTTAAAAATAGTTATTACAATTGGTCTGTCACCTTTGTTTTATTACAAAAAAAGAATATTCAGTGTTAGAATAACATGAAGTAAAATGTTTGAGCATATTGACGACATGCAAGAATTGCTCTAGCATATGCAGATGCCATTCAGGAAGTCCATGTTATGCTTTTCTGGTTCCTTTCTCCATGTCATTTTTATATCTTCTTAAATAAATGCTAAAAGTTTCTCTCACATTATAGCAAGTAAAAATTTGCTTTCTGTGATGTTGACTTCATTTATTATATATTAGAGACTGTCATTTTCTAATAAAATGTTGTTAGTAAAACAAAATTATGAAATGCTTGTTTTTGTTACAGAATAATTGGTTCTATTTGTTCTTAAACAAAATTTGATTGGATTTGATTGTTAGGTGCTACAGCAAGAGAATGCAGAGCTACAGGCAGGACTATCACTAGCTCAGGCCCAGTTGGAGACTGCACTGGCAGCTCAAGAATCTCAGCGGCGTGTTCTAGACACACTCAACGCTCAGTTGGCAGCTCAACTTTCTGAAATGGCTGGTATCCATCGTGAGATTGCCACGGCCTTGCAGACGTGAGGGGGTATGGGCCCCCGGCAGCTGTACATGGCCCGCTGGTCGGCTGTGTGAGTTACACCACCCACGTTGCATTCCTCCCTTGTGTGTGCACATGTGCCAGCAAGCTCTTTGAGCTGCAGCTGGAACTGTTTGATACTAATGGAGGTAAAATCAGGACATTATTGATGTGCGAAGAAATGATCCTTTCTGAAGTTTCACCAATGATTTGAGTGATTTAGCATCTCACAAATGCTATCAAACTGGAATTAAAAATAAAATTCAGGAAAAATTCAAAATTACTGGTGTAGAAAGGAATTTTGTCTTCACAAATGTCCTATGTTTTGAAAGTGTTCACACTGAATGTTTCTAAGTTGGGAACAGATGTATCAAATTGTAAAGCGAATATCTCCACTTCCACTAATCTATCAGTTGCTTTATGGTAGTGTTATGTAAATTAATGAATAAAGCAAAACAATCCACTATCATAGATTGTGTATTTGAATGAAGGGTCAGAAAAGTTTTCTGTGCATAACCACACAGATTAATTTTCTGTTTTCCATGCAACAGAAACATAAATCATTCTTTTATTTTTAGGTAGGGATGTTATAGTTGAGATGCATGCTTAGTTAAAAATTCTCTGCCGTCGTGCAAAGGAAACATTTCATCTGTTAAACACTTGTTGTTTTAACATTATCTGTGTAAGGAGGAATGAATATGCATATATGAACATATGTATATAAGTATATATAGGATTGGTATTGAAGCTGTGTCCAAAGGGCCGTTCTTCCTACACTTTTGCCAAAATAAACCGTAACATCAGTGTTCAGTACTTTTATTAATATATTTCTACATATAAACAAGAAATGGAAGTTGTATATTCCAATCATGGGATGAAGTTAAACATGTGCATATTCTGTTGCAAAGGAATATGTGATATAGTTTATAAAATACAGGCCCATGCAATATATGGATTGTTCCTTCTGCAGAGAGAGGTGCTCTTAATAGTGTTTGATTGAAGGTGCTGCGAGAAGAAAAATCATCCTCATTGGGTTACTTTAACTTCCAGGCACTCCATACTAAGTTGCTTTCCAGAACGACCAGTGATATCACTTAGTGCAGTGATTGGACAATATATTTTTAGTGTTGACAATTGATAAACTGTCATCCAGGTGAAAAGGGAGAAAAGCACATGTGATTTAATTGTTTCAAATCATGTCTTGGTATGCTTCCAATTCATGAACTATTGACCTGTATGAAAGTGTATGTCATTACTCAGGAGAGTGGAATTTCAGTCTTGATCGATAGCAATGTGTATGTTGATAGCGTGTGACATTAGAACATTGAATGGACAGTGAGTACAATCCCCCAATGTATAAGAATAGTTAAATTTTAAAAGCTTTGAACTATAATGTACATCAAGCAATCTGCCAAACTCAGTTGGTTGTGGCTAAATGCAGTACTATTTTCAAGGCCATATTTGTCACTAATTTTACATTTTATCTTTGTACTTTGTCTTGACATTTTAGTGATATTGAAGCACTCAAATAAACTTATAGAAAATGATTGCTTTGGTAAAAGTAAAACAGGAAAAGATCATATAAACAAAATATAGTTTTAAACTGTAATTGTAGAAAATATAATTGTAGTTAGTTGAAATTGTTTCTTTTTGACTTTATATCTGGGTTCTTTGGATAGTTACCATAATACTGCTGTGTGTGCATCTTAAAGATGCTAGGACGAAAACAATTAAGTGACAAATATGGTTCTAAAACTTTGCAGGTTTATTTAATATTTGTATTATTTTAATTTGTAGCCAGGAAATAAATTTGTGGAAAAAGGAGTGAAGAATCATTTAAAAAACAGTATTGGTTTCCTGGTAAAAACATTGCAATCTTTTTATTCTACAGAAATCAGTCAATGAAAACTAAATTTCTTGAAAAAAGTAGCTACAAAGAGAAAAAAGACATTTGTTATTAAAATCATGTTTCTCTAGGAAATCAGAGGTTTTATACTAAGCCTAATAAAATTAATTGATTTCATTAGAAATATATACATATATCTATCAAATAATATTGAGCTTCCTATATTACAGACTTTATGTACATTGCTACTGAACCTCCTTGATCATAGCTGAAAGTAGAGTATAGCTACATTCCGTTCAAAAATGTGTGTTCTGCCATTCATAGATGCACATGCCTCATGCCAACCACAGGATAAAATGCAACTAACTTGGCTTTATATTGTTGTGTGTAAAAACTATTGCTTTGATACTGCTGCATGAACATATTGGTGCATATGTACAAGACCTGTGTCTGAAACTTTTTTCTTTCTGAATGTTAATTCTTTCTTATTTTCCTAAATCAACAAGTCTTAATGATTATTCCATTTTAATTTAGGAGCAGACAGTCAAATGAAAATCTCCCTAAATTTGGTAGCAACATTGCCTCTAGATATTGCATGATGAAATTTTTGCACAGGTCCTTTAATGAACAATGATATTGAAAAATATGACAAATCAGAAATAATTTTCAAATGAATTGCTGTGGTAACTGGTTTTATAAAATCATAGATTTCTATACCGCTTAATGCAGCTTTTTTAATTTTGTTTGAAGTGTACTATAATGGTGAGTAAAAGAGGTAACTAAGTTTTCAGTCCTTTTATTTATCGATTAAAACATCCTTTTATTTGTTTATTTATTCCCGTCATTTTATTGACTTTCTTTAAAAGAGAGATGATCTGTTGAAAAAAAAGCTTATGTTTAAATTAATTTTCACACATTAAATGTATGCATGTCTCGCATATTGTTGTTAAACACTATCAGTCGTATAGTGCTGCTGCTGCTCCAACAAATCAAGTCATAGATTTTTGCTGTTCTATTTCAAGATGGAGTTCATGATTTTTGTATGTTCTTTCCTGCCAAATTTTTATTTTTATTTTTTTAGAACTTTTACTTTATTTTGTATGTAATGTCAAGTAACATATTTCACTTCTTTATTAATAGTTTGTTAAAAATTACCACATTGATGTGCAGCATTTTATTACAACAATAAATCTCATTGTGTAATTGCTATATGTGAATGAATGTGATACAGTGAATCCCAGGATATCAGCTAAAACTTATTTCAGTGATCACGTCCCTCTAACATTGTTTTAGAAACAATTAGGTGAATTAGAAAAAAAGTACCAACTCCCAGTAGCGAGTTAATGTTCGTTTCCATGAATAATTGTGGAGCGGCAATAAGGGTATTTAAAATACAATACTGTATTTACAGCATACTAATTAATACTCGTCTTTGTAGGTTGTTGATGTGGTTGTAGGAAAGTGCCAGCATGGTACTACGAATATCAACACTCATATTTTATTATCCATGACCAGAGTGAAATCATTCATTGTACAGAACAATATATTTATTGTTAATCTTGTTTTAGATCATACAAATACTTTTCAGAAACTGTAAAAGGATTTATGAAAGAATTTTATGATGAAACTGCTGTCCTTGTTGAGGAACAAAAAAGATAGAGTAGTGGACATCGATATTATCATCATCATCTTCATCAATATCATCTTATCACCACCACCAACTTCTTAATTTTCATCTGGTTTTTGTTATCTTGTAAAATTCTCTCTTTCCAGCTATTATAGCTTAACATCATATTTTGAAATATTCTCTTTATTCAGGGATCAAGGTTAGGTTACAATGAACCCATGTTCTGTTCATTATTTTTTCCCTCGAACAGGCGTGATCAGCTTCAAGTTTAATGTGATATTGCTCCTGTTTGTTGAGAATAAATGTCAGTAACCATGCCAAAGAGCTTGAGAAAGGAGCAATAATCTGCTTGAAAAGTATTGTGATGGAATTGTTGTAGATTTCAATATAATTGATTACTTACTGTCCAAATTTTGTTTCTGCTTACAGTGGATACATATGATAGCAGTTATTCACTTAGTTTATCTAGGTTTCTGGTAGAAACTTAAAGTAGAGATTAACTATTGGTCTAAATTAACAAAGCCATTTTTATGATGTATCTTTTATGTACAACAATTTCATTATATTAATTTTGTGTGTGTGATCTTAAAAATCACATGGAAGTCCTTCATCAAGTTAATTGTAGTTCTTTTCATTAAAAAAAATGCCGAAACTGATCAAGTCTGATCTGGAACAGGGAGTTAGGTTTAGAATGAATATCTACCATATAAAAACACTTGTCATTTTTGGAGAAGACTGAATGATTGTGTCAAAACTTCAAATTTATGCTCAATGCATGTGATGTGCTGTTTAAGGAGTTGTAGCTATGGCATGTTGCTAATGAGTCATTAAATCTTGAGAGTTTAGTTTAGATGATATTGTAATTTATTTTAAGTGACATATGCTTTGTTATGAACATGCTTGTCATTTAGATATATACTTTTGACTGTCTGTCTGCTTTTATTTGTGGAACCAAAGTTATGCTGTGTCATTCTTTTTGTTTGAGTTTTAATTGAGTACTTGCAATATTGCATGTGTGCTTGAAAAATTGCTGCTAATATAATCAAACTCTTGCCTTATTTCAAGATCACTTTCATGCAGTATAGTTTTCAAACATACTGCTTTGAAAACTCTTAGCATTGAAGTTTTTTGGTAATTAAAAACCAATTTGACTTGAATGTTACTTTTAAGTTTGATATGAAAAATTTCAGAATTTTCAGTTTTGTTTTGTAAACTATATATTTTCAACATACACATGTATTTCAAAATGTTGTAGACTTAACTGTCCTTAAAACTAAACAGGCACATATTAAGAAGCTCAATTTGTGTATAAATATGTTGATTACTAAACCATATATTGTATGTTATTTTTAATTATGTACTAAAAATGTCCATATGCATTTTCTTGTAGCATCACATTTTCTTTTAATTCAATTTAATGCATTTATTTTACACATTGTTTTCCATATTTTACACTGGTAAAACAAGTTTCTCTTGTGATCGTTGAGAATTCATATTTTTTTACTCTTGATTGCGATTTGTGAAAGTACTTGATCTGTATTCAGTATTTGTAAATCATTCCATTAGAAACAAAAACATTATAATTTATTTTAAATGTTCATTTTCAAAAGGAATATATATAAATAACAGTGAAACAATCAGCCTAATCTAAGAGTGTATGTCATTCATTTAATGGTAAAAGGCTGTGTAGGTATTTATGCCTTTGCTTATTTTATTGTACCATGCCACACATTTGAAGTGCTATTTTTATTTAGGAATTGAATCTCTTTTCTTAGAAGACGCACTAGAAATAGTACTATCCATATACTTTTAACATGTGGAAATCTCAACATTCTTCATTAATTTTGTAATGTTTATCTGTGAAAGATTCTTGTATTTTGTTGAAATTATTGTTCTTTTTTACATGTACATATAATTTTGGAAAGAGAGAAATGTATTAAATCAACATTTCTAAGTTTAATTAAAAGTGCAATTTGCCTCTTCTCTTGTAATCCATGTCCTTATTCTGAAAAGAGGGAGTTTTTGCACAGCACAGTGTATATCAATTGACTTCAATCTGAAGTTTTGCATGCACAGATGCACAAAAGTGACCCATAACTCGAATTAGCACATGCAGATGATCTGTCGATTCTTGTAAAGCTTTGCTGTGCAAAAACTCTAATACTGATGTTGTAAAAAACGCAGGTACAAACTCATAAATTTCTTCTTCGGTATATTGATGAGTGGAATGGGAACATATTCTTCAGAAAATAAATTCTTCAGAGAATTTCAGTGCTATCATTCGTTCAAGAAATTCTCGCAGTTAAAATATACTCGTGATTTTGTTAATTGTTATCTATGCTTACACTAGCCTTATAAAGTAGAACCCCTATTTAACATCACCTCTGGGGCCTAAAATTCTTACATTAAATGGGGGTTTGGGGTATTCTTTGAAGAAACAAGTTAAAATTAACCAGGAATAATCGATTTTATGTTAAGAAATGCTTGAAATTGAATGAAAAAAAAAATTACGCCTCGTCAGATTCAAAATCAACGTGATGCTCATTGTGTTCCTTGACATCGATGGTTTGGTGCGCCATGAGTTTGTACCGCCTGGACAGTTTGTTACTGGCCATTTCTACGTTCACATTTTGCCGAGGTTGCGCGAAGCGGTTCGAAGGAAGCGACGGGACAAGTGGCGAGGTCAGTGGTGTCTGCATCACGATAACGCACCAAGCCACACATCGCTTGTTGTGCAGAAATTTCTCGCCGAGAAGAACATTCCTGTAGTCCCTCAACCACCGTACTCTCCAGATCTCGCTCCCAGTGACTTTTGGCTGATCCCTATTCTGTAAACGGGCCTCAAAGGGAGACGGTTTGCAACCGTGCAGAGCAAAATCGAATGCAATGGCTCGTCTCCAACTCATTTCAAAAGAAGCTTTCTACAGCTGTTTCAAAAATGGCAGCATCGATGGGGCAAGTGTGTGTGCGCGCAAGGGTCTTACTTTGAAGCTGATTAGGTAAGCATTGCCATAGACCATAACATTATCCTACTGAATCACCATTCCGAGAAGTCTTTGAACCCCCTTCGTATATACACGGACCAATTTATTGTTGTGATAAATTTTACCACAAAATCATGAGCTATATTGCGAAGATAAATCGTACATAATCTATTAACGCACAGTTTTATTGAATCAATATTTCTTTTCAATCGGTCCAATTTATTTGTGCATATGTGTTTGTGACGGCTATTTGATCAAATCTAACCAATTTATCTGTGATCGGTGGTCTTTCGCCATTTTATAAACCGATTAAACGTTTAAATTGAAAATTTTTCCAGTTTGATTTTGTGCATTGTAAAAGTTGAACATGCACGAAACTGCTGCGTGATTTATTGGAATGATGGAGTACATAGTTATAAAAAGAACAAGGAATCGTTCTAAATGGATCAAAACATATCTGCTGACAAAAAATGCCGCTTCTTACAAAATTGCCTTCGATATCACCTCCAGCTCCGCTTCTTTTTTAGACTCCTCTACTCTTCTCACACCTATCAAAAAAAGATGTTCTAAGGTTTTGTACTTTTTGCTGTACAAATGTCTGCTTCTTAGAAAACGTTTCTGATATACGCAACTAAAACAGTCTCATTTAATATTTTGGTTTGTATATTCAGAACTAATCGTTTTCCATAAACACGGATTATTACGATATAACTGAAGTAAACCCGCAATAAACTCCTTACTCGCCATTTCTGAAACTACCACGAGCGCAATCCTATCACCGTTCAAACACAAGCTCGGACATCTCGTAGAGTAGTTTGCATATATTTTGACAGATTTATCTGCAGATTATTCCTTCTATTTATGTAAAACAACAAAAATATATCGTTTCAAATTATTGCCGTGTTTTTTCGAACAAATTTATTAGTTTCTACAGCCCCATAACGAAGCGATTTATCTGTACAATTTCGGAGGTTAACGATAAATTCCTCGGATTGGTCGATAAATTGCTGCGTGTATATCTTCCTATTATCGTAGGCTTTGGAAATTGTCGATAAATTCCGAGACGAGGAGGGAGTTTATCTGAGAATTTCTAAAGCATGAGTGGTATTTAATATTATTCAACGAATGAAATTACGTCCAACAATGTTCGAAAATGGCCAAATATTGAAGATAACTGAAAGTATGTTAAAATCAAAGAGGTACATACGCGGTTTATTGCACAACATACGAGTATTATATACGCGGTTTAGCTCAACACAGCGATCGGTTTATACCGCCTCCTAAGATAGACGAGTCGAGCTTATTTATTGGCTAGTAGGGAAGGACTAAGAAAACGATACTACAAGGGGGTTCAAATATGACCGGGACTGATTTTTTTTCAAATACCCCGCCATGCGCATTAACTGCGCCGTCTGGAGAGAATCTAGCCACAACCCCCCACCTCCCTCCTTTGCAGGTTAGAACCTGTTCAGTCGTGTCTGGGTCTTGCTAGAACGATGAGTGAACAAAAGGTGCCGCGGTGCGTGGAACAACGCATTATCATCAAATTTCTCGTTGGAGAAAAAGTTCAACCGTCGGAAATTTTGCAGAGACTCAAAAAACAGTACAGGGAAGAGTGCCTCTCCCGTGTGTTTGAATGGTGTAAGTGTTTCAGAGAGGGACGAGAGCGCGTTGAGAATGAACCTCATAATCGTCGGCCGCGAACATCCATAACCCCAACAAACATTGATCGTGTTAATGCGGTTATTTGTGAGAACAGGCGCATCACTATCAAAGAAGTAGCATCAGTAATTGGCATCAGTGTGGGTAGTGTAGAAGACATGATAAAAAAACACCTAAAATATAGAAAAGTGAATGCTAGGTGGGTTCCACGCACTTTGACGGACGAGAACAAATTGATGCGCATGAAAGCTGCCAGTGTTCTTCTAATGCGGTTTAAAAATGAAGGAGATGCATTTTTGAAGTCCATTGTAACCACTGATGAAACGTGGGTTCACTACTTTATTCCTGAGTCCCAGCAGGCATCACGTGAATGGCGACACGCATCTTCTCCAAAACCCAAGAGAGCGCGGAAGATCCGTTCGGTGGGAAAAATGATGGCAACATTTTTTTGGGACTGGAAGGGTGTTCCAGTGCACCACCAATGCAGCTTATTATTCAGCACTTTTGGAAACAGAAATCAAAGATAAGATCCGATCCAAACGGAAGAGAGGTGGGAAACGGGTAGCATTCCTTCAAGACAATGCACGACCTCATACTGCTAAAACAACCATGGCAACCATCAGCAAATTGAAGTGGGACCTTCTACCACATCCGCCGTACAGTCCAGATTTGGCCCCAAGTGATTTTTACCTGTTTGGACAGCTTAAATCACATTTGCAAGGCATGCGATTTGCGGATAATGACGCAGTCATCCACAGTGTTCGGGACTGAATATGCCGACAACCAAAAGACTTTTATGAAAAGGGCATTAGGATGCTCCCAGAACGTTGGAAAAAATGTATAGAATCTGGAGGGGAGTACTTTGAAGAATGACATGTACAAATAAATTTTTGCTAATAAACTATTTCATAAAAAAAAATCAGTCCCGGTCATATTTGAACTCCCTTGTACATTTTTTACACGGCCCTGATTGGGGCATCGCATATGTATAGCTAAACACTACTGGTTTTAATTTCACGAATGGATCAATCTGTTCTAACAAGTGTTATGGAACTCGTGTTACTTATATTTCTAATTTCTTTGGTCTTTTCGGTTCCCTCATGGTAGGAGATATGGTTACTTTCTCGTACACGGAGTAATATACGTTGTATAAAGAGAGTTATTTAATCCTGAAGAAAATCAATTTCGGGATTTCAAAGGAAATACGCGTATTGTGGTTCTCTGAAACCGAGAAAATGGTGACTTTTTCTTTCAAAACGTTCGTCCGCCCGTCTGTGAACAACACTAGCGCCTAAACTATTTACAAGATTTTTCCAAAATCAAAATTCCGTGGTCGATCTGGCTCGACTCGAAGTTCTGCGATTTTGAAAAAACTTCTTTAAATTTTGGGGGATTTTACATGAAGCTCCTAGGACATGTTCTCAAAATTTGTTTCCCATTTTTCCCTAATTTTTGTAAGAATAGTATGAATGACCCTTACAAAGATAGCATAGATCCGGTCTTCAGTGTTAACTCGAAAATTGCAAAAGTTTGAAATATTTTGTCGTCTTCTTACAGCTACAAAATTGAAAAAAAAATCCTTCTAATTAAATTTCTTCATAATTGATTCTTTCTTTAAGTGTATGGCCGTTTTTACTTCCCCGCTACCATTTATGCAGGAGAGAAAGTAATGTAATACTGCGCGAAAAAATGGCGAATTTTCGACTGAAAACGTTCATTACAGGGCCCTGGTAATACAAATGTGGAAACTCAAGTTGCTACACTTAGAAAAAAATCCCCGATTACAAAACAAGGATTCAGTCACTTCTACATCACGTGTTGGAGGATGTGTTTGAATCCTTGTTTTGTGGGAGATCCATCAAGCTGGTGAGCCCACCATAGTAGAAACCAATCCAACTAGTGCCAGAATTTTAAACTATTTTATTACTAATTTATTACCGCAAAACCACCCCACTCAACAAAAAATGGGAGGCGGTCAGATTTCACAAGCACACAAAAAAACTCACCGACCCACAGGCTTGACACATATTTCTCTATGTACAAGTATGTCAAGGCGCTGAATCCGAATCTGAAGCCAGAATTGCGCCATCACCCTCAAGGTTGTTTTTTTTCTCGCGAAATAAACACCGAGAAGTCGTAAATTGTTAATTCTACTGTGGTTTTTAGCGATTTAAAAAGTGGAAACTGGTGGAGCTATTCTGGCGTCAGATTCAGCGCGTCTACATACATAGAGAAACATGATTGAAGTGATTGGATCTGACAACTTTTGTGTTTGTGTTGAGTACGAGGGGAGGGGGACTAAAATAACCGTACTGAGAGAGCGCTGCCTTTCGTGGACAGGGCTCTTACACTGGCAAAATATTAGCTTAAAGTTTTGAGCACAAATATTGAATGGTCGTGGACCCCTCATACCACAAAATTTCAGTGTCAACTAAACATTTGTTATGGAAGCAGGGCGCATTGCGTTGTACTCAGCCATAGCAGCATGTTTCGTTGCCCAGAGGTGGAAAGTAGCGTAGTTGTGTTGTGTGCAGTGTTGAAGGAGACTTTAAATAGAAAGAATAAAAGAGTGTGGGTCAGGAATAATTTGAAGAAACAACCGACCCATGGTCATCGTAACCTACTTCGCGAACTACTACGCTTGGAACCTACACTTCTTCAAAATTTCCTAAGGATGAATGAAGAGGTGTGAGCAATTGTTGAGTATGGTTTGCCTCCTGATTGAGAAATGTGATGCACGAATGAGGACAGCGATTTCGCCAACTGATAGGTCTGAGTCTCACTCTGCATTTCCTAGCATCTGGGAACAGCTTTGAGGACTTGAACGTTTCATTGTACATAGCTCCGA